GACATTTGCAGTTCTTAACTCTCTGTTTTCAGCTACTAGAATAGTAGCATTGTGCATTGTTATTTGACATCTCTTGATCAGCTGACTTAGAGCATAATTGATTGGACTGAGTGAGCTCTACATATGATGCTTGATATACTCTTTAACTTTCTCAGTCTGCTGCTTCAATTGATGTATATTATGCAGTGTGACTGTGGCCCAGAAGGCCTGAGAGCTGTGGGAGGTTCTTGAGAAAGTGAAAAATATGCATCATGATATTAAGCTGTGAGAGAATCTGCTCAAAATCATATGAAACTAGCTCAGCAGCTCTAAAACTACTTTTGATATTACCTTCAGTCAGGACCTGCATCTGAGCTATAGAATAGAGACTCAAAAACTTCTTCTTATCAATATAATTGATTTCAAGTCATATTTAATTTTTCATCTGCTATTCATATGCAGTTTTCAGAGATAAGAAGCAGCCAATATTTAATGACTGAAGAAGATGAAAGAAATGTAATAACAGATAGAGAATAATGATCTGATTTTTAGTGCAAAATTGATCAAATTTAGCTGAGACATAACTTTAGTGTTAATCTAGAATCAACAGTCAATATCTGCTCTTTATACAGAGTAGAGTTTTCTTGTTGAATATTTCTTTCAGTCAGTATAAGCTTAGCTGATTAGTGATTCAGTCATTCTCATTAACTTCAATCACTCAGTTATATAATAGTTCTTCTATCTCATATCAGTAAAATTAATATATTTTTTCTTTGAGAATAATTATTGTATACAAGACTCAGTTAGTTGCATTGACTTTAGCAATAACAGTCATTCATTTCTGATCTTCAGACTGTACAAGCTTGAGATTCTCTGCTTTTTCAGATTTAATCATCATTCTGACAGTTTCAATTATATTTATTTGAAACTTAATCTCATTAAAGTTGCAGATATCATCTTTCAGAATCTCATACTTCACAATAGTGTTTCATATAAGTCTAAATCACTCACAGATAACTTCAGAATTCTCACATAAAATCTGCTGATGATTATATTTATGTGAGAACTTGAATTTCAGCTCATCATGATGTTTGACAAAGTTCTATACTCAGCATTCACTCACTATAAGTGAGAAATTAAATTCTCAGCTAACAAGAAGAAGATTGATTATTTCTTGTATAGCTGTAATCTGAAGAGACTAGTTTCATTTATTCATAATCAGAATTCCTTGAACAAGAGATTCTTTCTCTGTAAGATTAAACTTTCAATTCTTTGAGAGAGTGTTAATGCATGCTATACAATCATATATCTGATTATATAGAATAAAATATAAAATATTATATAGTTTTACTGCAACTAATACACTTAAAATTTAATCATTTTTAAATACTTGAATGATTAAAAAAAGTCTTTTTCCCTAAGTAGAGACTTTATTTCTTTATGTGATTGACATTTTTGATGATAAAGATATTGTTCTGAGATGAAATGAAAAGTGACTGACTTGCTTATATGATCAACTTACTTATTGATTATGTTAGTTAACTAGGTAAGTTCTGAGCAAATATTCACTTCAATTCAAAATAACTTTTTAATTTCTCATCTATCTCAACGCGTGATTATATCACAAATTCACAATAAGAATTCTAGAAACTCTGTAGAGATGAAGAGAAGACTTGAACTTATAATAAATGCTATTAAAAATCAAGAAATATCATCAATTTCTGAAGCTATATATCTTTTTGAAGTGTATTATTTTACTTTTAGTTATAGACTTAATGATTGAATTACAAGAGTAAATTTATACACAAATTTAATTAAATTGACTAAGTCTGAAGAGAATCAGCTAGTTTAATGAATTCTTGATCTGACTAAATGAGAATTACTCTCTAGCTAGCATTTGTTAAATATATGACTAATCATCTTTTTTTTTTACAGTATTTCATTATGACTTCTCAATATGTAAGTAAGAATTAAGTTTAAAAGCTGATTAAACATTATACAAAGCTTTAATACTGCTATTTCACATATTATAATTATGATTAAACTAAGTTTAAGAATATAAAGATTATTTAGAATCAATTTAAAACTTTAAAAAATATAATTATTAATTATAAAATTTTATTAATTATAAATAAATAAAATTATAAAAATTATAAAAAAATTATTTTTAAAAATTAATAAAAGATTTTCAATTAAATTATCAAAGTTTATAAATATAAAATTATTAT